TACAAGAAACAGAGGAGTCGTTTAGATACCGGGACACTTGAGAGAACAAGTGAACCCTTCCTGTATTCGAGCGTCAAATATAATCTGCCTGTTATGTCTGCTTATGGCTTCAGTGACTCAGATGTTTTTGTGTTGTACCAACGAGTACTGTAACAACATAATGAAAAAAAAAAAAGAAAAAGAAAAGTACAAGACAATTTGCTGTTTCACAGTTACTTTTTTTTTGGTAAGTGTTTTACGACGCTCGCAACTGCATGCGGTCATATGAGGGTGCGGGACACACCAAACATTTTCAGTTGGTAGGAAATTTTGAATTTTGCTCTGGTGGGGGCGGAAGGCTACTTTTATCGATTTCGGATCACCAAGGGATCTTTAACGTGCGCAACTTGCACACGGGATCTCCGTGATTTTTCGCCCTTGTCCGAGAAGGCTAGGTGTAGATCTTTCCTACCAGAAGATCAGGGGTGTGGCTAAAAGACAGCAGTAAGAAGGAGCCAAGGAGTAGCAGAAAAAGACTGCAGAAAGAGCCAGGAGGCCAGAGGAGGGGGGCAAAGGAGGTGAGGAGTGGGGACAGAAAGTGGAGACGAAAACAGACGACAGAACATTGCCAGAGAGCAGGACAGGAGGTGAAATGAGACAACACCTCTCCAGCATATATTTAACAGAGTGCTCATACAAACTATTCAACCTCATTTTCGCTAACGATTATTCTTATGGTAATAGAAGCATAATATGTCATTGCTTTTTTTCTTATTCGTCCCCTTGTCGTTAAAGATGCTTTCGTTCCTCGTGTGAAGTCATCAATGCATAATATTAAGAATATCCATCATTTTGACCTTGCCTGATTACCATGCCCTGAGCTCATCCGGTGTTGTCCACTTAATGACAAAATCTTTCCTGATTGTCTACCGCTTTAGTTGTGCTGTGTTAACAGACTGGTGGCTGGGCCCTGCAAGAGTGAAGTCTAGCGTCATGTTGCATAACTATCGATCACCCAGTGAGGGGTGACGGCAGAGGGAAGGATGGTGTGTGTGTGGGGGGGGGGGTTGTTGAGTGGGGAGCAGGGTGATTTCTTGTCAGTCGGACTGAGGTGGATTCACCATTTGTAAGAAAGAAAGGGGACAAAGGGGAAATAGAAGAGGTTTGAGGCAAACTTGAAGATTTTTCTTGAAGTTTCAGTTGTGAAAGGTAAGTGTAGCGAACTAACAGACTTAAGAGCTGTTCGACCCGTGTTAAGGGAAGCTGAAGAAAAGCTCCAGAGTTCAAAGGCGGAGAAAACTAAAACTTGGCTGAGAGACTGGGAATTTCAGAAAGAAATACCGAAAGTAAGACTTTTATTCATTTGTATTTTTAAAAAGGGAAACAACAGAGAACGCTGACAAAAGAGTGTGTAGGTGGAACTCAGGAAAATGAAAAAACGAAAAATAGTCGGATCGATGTGCCCCTTATGTATTTGCAGTTGGCATCGGGTATACTAATTTCTGGCTTCATCCACCCG